TCACTGATCGGGAAAAGTATAACTTTTTAAATGGCAAGACCTCTGAAGAATCAAATACTCAAACGAAAAATGATTATACAACTTGAAATATCAATAAAGTTGTCAGACAAATGCATCAGTTCAGAACACACATTTCAAATGAACGTTATACAGCTACCATCAAGGTGCTTTGGACAAAATAGCAAGGCTCCTGAAAAACATCCTTGGTTTTCTCTCCTATAATAAAGTCAGGATCCTGTGATAAATCATCCCTGGGTTAATGTAACAACACAACAGGAGTTTGGTGGTTACACAAGTTGCTCTTCCTTTGGACAACATCCTCCTGCCACTTTAGGAACACGAAAGTTTAGGGAGATTAGATGAAAGGCTGGGATTGACAGGAATTAGCACAAAATGTCCTCTTCAGCTGATCTGAGCTACCACTGAGCCCTGATGACAGAAATGGGAGGTGTCCAACTGAGCATTAGTGTCAGCAACCCAGTGACAACAAGAAACATGATAGTAACATAATAATGCTGTCAGCCAGGATATAGGCCCCCAAAACATTAAAAAATACATCTTACAGTAAATTACACTTTTAAAAATTAGGGCGAAAAGCCCAGACTGTTATACTGCAAACTAGTTTAAGCTAACAAATTATATATGACAAGTTTAAAGTAATCGTTTATCTAAAGGAAGCATTCACTGTATTAATTGGTATATGTCAGATGTGGGATACCTACTGATGACTTATGCTTTTTTGAGGGGGAAAATAAAATTTTGTTTTGAAAATAAGATTATGGATCTATGGTCACTGAAATGTAGGCTTTCTGATCCTGAGTCAGAGGTGGTGTTAAAAACTAACCAGGGGCTTCCCACTGCTCTTAGGATAAAGTCCCCAATTCTTGAAAAGTTCTAGTTCTTTCTGTTGTTCTCCAGGCTCTCACACCAGCCTGGTTATTCAGTTTCTTGAACACACTAAGTTACTTCCTCCATATACTGTTTCCTGCCCTCCCTACCCTATTTCTGATCCTGTGTTACCACATTCAATTCTAACCCTCGCAGACTCCATTAGTCCTTTGTCATGGCAGCCTATACTTCTCTTTCATACTACCTTTCATATTGATTGTGTAATAATTACTTAATGTCTGTCTTCCCAGTATATTACAATTTTTGAGGGTGGGGTGTGTATCTTTTTATACCTCCAAATCTCTATTACCTTGCATAGTCCCCGTGACATTGTAGGTATTCATTAACAGCAGATTACAACACTACCTACTGTGAGCAATGGCTACATTACAGTGAATCAATTAGATGTTCTTTCTTCTGTAGCCAGACCAGGTAATGGGTGCGTAAGGTCAATAAGGCATAGAGACTTGCCTCTATCCCTGGCTATGCTGCCATGAAGAGATAGTGATCATGTGGGATGACACAGAAGAGGTGGACAGGCAAAGTGATTTGGTAAGGACTTGATAATCCACAATCACAGAACCAGATAATTTTAGAACTGGAAAAAACCTGTTAACCTAAATAGAGAGGTAGACTGAGGCAAGCTTGAATGACCAGAAACTGAGTTTATTTGGGAATAGCAGAGGAATTGCAATTCAGAAAATGCATGCTGCAGGTGAGTCCACTGAGAGCTTGGAGCAGGCTATATCAACAGGGAGGAGTATGCAGAGAAGGCAGTCCAGCCAGAGTCTAAGCAGTAAGTACCCTGGCAGGAGGATGACAAAAGATCTAAATATATATAAAGAACTTATATAACTCAATATTGCAAAACCAAATAATCCAATTAAAAAATGGGCAGAAGACATGAACAGACATTTCTCCAAAGAAGACATACAAATTGCTAACAGACACACGAAGATACTCAACATCACTCAACATCAGAGAAAATGAAAATCAAAACCACAGTGAGATATCACCTCATACCTGTGAGAATGGCTAAAATAAAAAATACAAGAAACAAGTGGTGGTGAAGATGTGGAGAAAAAGGAACCCTCGTGCACTGTTGGTGGGAATGCAAACTGGTGCAGCCACTGTGGAAAACAGTATGGAGGTTTCTCAAAAAATTAAAAATAGAATTACCATATGATCCAATAATTCCACTACCAGCTATTTACCCAAAGATTATGAAAACACTAATTCAAAAATATATGTGCACCCCTGTGTTTATTGCAGCATTATTCACAATAGCCAAAACAGGGTCCATCGATTGATGAATGGGCAAAGATGATGCAGTATATATACACAATGGAGGATTATTCAGCCATGTAAAATGACGAGATCTTGCCATTTGTAAATGCATGAATGGATCTAGAGCATATAATGCTAAGTGAAATAAGTCAAAGAAAGGTAAATACCATATGATTTCACTCATATGTGTAATTTAAGAGACAATAAGAAAAAACCAGACTATTAACTATAGAGAACAAACTCACAGTTACCAGAGGGGAGGTGGGTTGGAGGATGGATGAAAAAGGTGATGGGGATTAAGAGGACACCTTGATGGATTCAGATGGGGCACCTAGGTGGCTCAGTCCGTTGAGCATCAGACTCTTGATTTTGGCTCAGGTCATGATCTCATGGTTCCTAAGATGGAGCCTGCTTGGGATTCTTTCTCTCCCTCTCTCTCTGCCCCTCCCCTGCTCACTCTCTCTCTCTAAAAATAAATAAACTAAAAAAAAAAAAAAAAAAAAAAGAGGACACTTATGAGCACTGAGTAATGTATACAATTGTTGAATCCCTATGTTGTACATCTGAAACTAATGTAACATTAAAAAAAAATTAACGTTTATTTATTTTTGGGAGACAGAGCGAGAGCAGGAGCCAGAAAGGGGCAAAGAAAGGGGCAGAGAGAGAGGGAGACACAGAATCCCAAGCAGGCTCCAGGCTCTGAGCTGTCAGCACAGAGCCTGATGCGGGGCTCGAATCCATGAATGGTGAGATCATGACCTGAGCCAAAGTTGGATGCTTAACTGACTGAGCCACCCAGGCACCCCTAAAACTAATGTAACATTGTATTTAACTGTACCGAAATTAAAATAAAATTTTAAAAAAGAGGCCATGTCTCTGTCCTGCTCTGTCCCTAGGATCAAAGCTTCACTTAAGCCGGAGGTCATGGTGGCAGCAATTTGTAGCAGTGATTATTGCCTCCTTTCTAGAGTTTACAGAGCACAACCACCACCTGGCCCTATTTCTAAGAGTTTCGTGGTTCCTGTACTTGTACTTGAGTGAACACTTTGGCCCAGTGCATGATTCAGAGCTCTTTTAGTTCCAACATTCTGCCAGAGCCAAACCTCTGGTTTCCCTTCCCTGCTTATGAACCCAGAATGCACAGTGTCTTCATTCCCGCTCTCAACTTCGTGTTGGTCTTG